TTGCCAGAATACAGGCTGCAACACACTGGAAGCCCATTTTAATGGGAGAGGACAACTAACCTTTCTCATGCACATACCTTTTGTGGAGGTAAATTTTAATCTCGTGATACAAGCAGTTTGGCCCCGGAACGTATCCAGGATGTTGGACAAAGTGGCTCAAACAACGCCCAGCCACCTGTGCTAATACAGTCCCGGCAGGATCTTTTGCATGCCTGTCTCACTGACTGCCATTTCTTTTTACAATACTCGCATTGAACGTTTTGTATGAAACTGCCTACCCTGAACTTGCTGGGCTTTGTTTCTGGTGCGCACGACGAAGTTGTTCCTGCGCTGAAACAGAGCACCTTGGCATTTGGACGGGTAATGACTAGCTGATCTGGTGTTTGATTAATAGAGGAGGAGATAAACCTGCGTTTCCCTCTAAACACAGCGAACCCTGTGCATAAACCTGAACCAAACCCAGCAGCGCCCGATGGCCCTGCAGACGCTGAGGAAGGGGCCACTTTTAAGAGGGGCTTCAAGTGCTGAGGTGTTTTCCGCAGTGTGAACTAGCTGATGGGGACACGTCGAATTACTGTAAAAACTGTTAAAACCCTTCCTGACCGGTCCACGCTGAAGCAGTGGTGCCGATCCCTCTTGTGCGGGGACCGGCAGACTCCCACGCGCCCGGGAGCCTGCTCCGGGTGACGCGCACGCTGTATCTGTCAGCGCAGCGAAACAAACTGCTTAGCCCAGCAAATCTTCCCCCTTTTTTCCTGTGGCAATCGACCGTGAGGCCTGCGTGGACCTCATGTGGGCGGTAGAGACGCTTAGAAGTGAAAAAGTCCTGAAAACGTTGGTCATATCTGAAACTGCGATTGGGCTATTTCTGCTTTGCCCACCCGCTTTGCGAGGTGGCCGGCGCAGTCAGACGCTGCCCTTCCTCACCCCTCGCTTGGACGCCGTGTACTGGAGCCCCCCAGCCCCCGCGGCGGTTTGGGCATGCGGGTCCCCTGGCCCCGCAGCGGGAATGGGGGCCAACCCCAGAGCAGGGTGTGGGTCCACCCCCACACTGGGGGTGCAGCCCCGGCCCCACAGCGGGATGCAGGTCTGGCCCCACAGTGAGGGCTGCAGAGCAGCCCCATAGCAGTGACGGGGCTCCAGCACTGCAGTGGGGTGCAGGCCAGGCCCCACAGCAGGATGTGGGGCAGGCCTCACAGTGGGAATGGGGGGCTGGTCCCATGGTGGGGATGGGGTCTGGCCCCACAGCAGGATGGTGGGCATG